GATTTCCTTGGCCCGAATAAGCTCTGTGTGTCTTGGACTAGCCTCCTAGGCAGTGGGGAGGGCAGGGCGGCACTGAACCGGATCATTGCTTTCCAGCTGGCAAGGATACAGGCGGACAGTGTGGTGGCAATGCTGAAGGACCTCTACCCTGGTCTGCAGTTTGAAATGGGTGAGTTCTCAAGTGGCTCCAGTGGAGAAGAGGGGATTAGCAGGGAGCTCAGCTACTAGCCCCAGAAGGGTAGCAGGCAGAATCTATAGCGCTTCTAAATTCTAATCTGATGGAAGAACCGGTTTAAACCATTCCTACCCACTTCATGAAATCTTCCCTGATCAGTCCAGCCATGGTGACCTTCTATTGTTTATACAACTCATTTGGTCCTTATTATATTCTGCTTGATCTTTTTAACTTTTTAGATGTATATGTTTTGTCCCCCCATGCAGACGTGAGATCTTTGAGGACAAAAGCCTGATGTTACTTTTCTTTTCTCTTTCCCCACCCAAGTACCTAGCACAGCTGTATGCATGATGGAAGCACAGTATTGGGGGGCACATATTAAGTACTCAGATATTTGTTGATTGGCCAATCACTCTATTTTTAGTTGCAATGTCTACCACTGGGGACAAGATCCTGGATACTGCACTCTCTAAGGTAACCTCTCCCTCCTTCCCTGACTACTACTAGTCTCTGCTAATCTTTCCCAGCTCCATGGGTTTCACAATGCCCTTCTCTTTTCCCTGACAGATTGGGGAGAAAAGCCTATTCACTAAAGAACTGGAGTATGCCTTGGAAAAGAATGAGTAAGTGGGGGGGTAGGGCAGGAGAGCTAGGCTGTGAAGGCCACCTCAGGACTCTTTTAGTGCCTGGATACTGTGGGGCCTCTCCACCATCTTTCTACCTTCCTGGGATCCCAGCTACCCCGGGGCCTGGTTGCTACAAAGACCAAAGGGTTTGGCACCCAGAAGATATGGGCCGAGGGTGGACTTCAGGAGCAGTAGGTTTAGGGCCAGAGTTGAAAGATTGCATCTTCTTTGCTGGGATGACAGCCCTGTCCTCAGTTCCTTGGAGTGAGCTCTTAGTTTAGAACACAAGTGGCCATCATAGTACTTGGTGCCTAGTGGTACAAAGAGATGGTGTGTAGACATCTAGGTAACAAGAAAAGACCCTTTTCTGCTTGGTTCCTGAGCTATAGTGTAGGGCAGTACTGTATAGCGGAAGGACATCAGAATTTGGAATCAGGACACCTGGGTTTGAATACCAGCCCTAGCACTTCACTAGCTATGGGACCTTGGCTGGGCTCTTCTCTTTTCTTAGCTCATTTCCTTATCTGTAAAATAAGCGTGATACTTACCCATATCTCCTTCACAAGTTGGATGGGGGGCGTGGGGAATTCTTTGGAAACCTTAAAGTGCTGTAGAAATTGGAGTTGTGATTACTCTTCCTGGACCTCATTCTACTGAAGCATTGAGAGGGTATGGGGAGGTAATGGGAAATCATTGCTTCTTATAACTTTTGTCCTCCTCTCCCTGGCTTTGTCTCTTCCAGAGTGGACCTGGTTGTACATTCTCTGAAGGACTTGCCCACTGTACTGCCCCCAGCCTTCACTATTGGCGCTGTCTGCAAGTAAGATGCAATCCTGAAGTCAAGGGGACTGGGGAGAGGTGTGCACCTCATTTTAGCATTCCTTTCTTTGGTTACTTCTCCTTCTGCCTTCACTGTTATTTTCTTGACTTCAGTGATCACTTTTTGGTTGGTTCTTTGAAGAGATTGGGATGGCTTCAGGTTACATTGTGTTGAATTGATCAAATACCTTACCTGATCGCCATCATATAACCCTTCCCTCTCTCCCTAGGAGGGAAAGCCCCTATGATGCTGTTATCTTCCACCCTAAATATGCTGGACAGACCTTGGGTACCCTGCCAGAGAAAAGGTAAGAGTCTGGAAAGGAGCAACAGGATTGGGGTGGGAAGGCAGATGCTGGAGAAGGGGAGGGGAAGAATTGGTAAAGGTTACTCTATGCTAACTTCTACCTTAAACCCTCTGACCTTACAGTGTGATAGGAACCAGCTCCCTTCGCAGAGCAGCTCAGTTGCAGCGGAAATTTCCACATCTGGAATTCAAAAGTATTGTATCCTTTTGGCAGTTTGAGGTGGGACATGACAAGGGTCAGAAAGATCTGCATGGTAGGTGGGGGCTTTTTTCACTGACTGGCATATGCAACCAGCCAGGTGTCTAGGCCATGGATGCCTGGGCCTGGGGGGCCTTTGAGAAGCCTCAGCAATAGCCCTTAACACAGTACCCTTGCAGAGAGGGAATCTCAATACTAGGCTTCGGAAGCTGGATGAACAGCAGGAATTTAGTGCCATCATCCTAGCAGCAGCTGGACTGCAGCGTATGGGTTGGCAGAGCCGTGTGGGGCAGGTAAGATTATTTTTCCTATCACTTATTACATCCTTGTGACCAGGAAGGTTTACACTTATGTTCAAAGCCCTCAGTTAGGTACTGAATCATCCCCACCCCCAGTCAAAAAGAAAAAAAAAAGCCTCTTCTTTATGCCCTACTCAAGATCTCCTCAATCCTCACTCAAGCATTATCATCTAAATGGGAAAACAAGATCCAGATTGGGAAGAGCTGGAATTAGGAACCCGGAATCCAGGCTCCCAGCCTTGCTAAGTCATGCTATTTGGCAGGGTCCTCCCGCTTCATCTCAGTTTCTTTGTCTACCACAACTGATTGTTTGCTCTGCTTCTCTAGCTCCTGTACCCTGAAGAATGTCTGTATGCTGTGGGCCAGGTATGCTCAGTCATGAAAGCCATCTTTCACCTCTGGGGATGTGGGCACTTCACTTGTGCTCCATTCTCCTCCCAACCCAGGAATAAATCCTGTAGCCTTTGGCCTCCTCTTCCCCAGGAGTGGAAACACACCTTGAGAAAGAGCTTGTATTCGTTGGGCAACTGGGAAATAATTTTGGCAGCCCCATACTTAACCAGGTTGTTTTGTTGTGAAAACGAAAAGCGTGATGAAATGTGGGGTTTCTCCCTAGGGGGCCCTGGGTGTTGAGGTCCGAGCCAAGGACCAGGAAGTGCTGGATTTGGTTCGTGTGCTACATGATCCTGAGACCTTGCTCCGATGCATTGCTGAGAGGGCCTTCCTGAGGCACCTGGTAGGACCAGTTCTTCACTTGGGGAGGGTGTGCCCCAGTATGCTAGAAATATAGTAAATATTAGATGATCAGAAAATCTGGGAGGGAGTATGAATCCTTCCCTCCCCCCACTCCACCTTGTTTCCAGTTGGTCTCTTAGAATGGGGTGATTGAAAGTGTGTTATCAGAATCCTTGGAGCTCACAGCCATGGTCCTGTTTATAGGAAGGGGGCTGCAGTGTGCCTGTGGCAGTCCATACAGTCCTCAAGGACGGGCAGGTAAGTGTTTTATTTTGCCCATACTTCAAATACTAGCTGGGGAGTATAATACCTAAATAACATTTTCATAAGGAATGGTTGGCCTTTAGCTTCAATATATATGAAGCATCTACTCTGTTACTAGGTAGTAGAGCATACAAAAATTAAATAAGATGATTCTCTACCCCTATGGCACTCCCTCTAGTAAGACTTGTCACCTGTTCTGTTTCCTAGCTATACCTGACTGGAGGAGTATGGAGTCTGGATGGCTCAGATAGTCTGAAGGAAACCATGCAGACAACCATCAATGTCTTAGCCCAGGTACCAGGACTGCTAGGGGAGAGCCAGCAAGGGTTCTATCACACCCCTTCTTCTCTACTAACTCTTTTCTCCTGTACAGCATGAAGATGGCCCAGAGGATGACGTGCAGCGGGTGGGCATCACTGCTCGGAATATATCTCAGGGAGCCCAAATGGCAGCTGAAAATCTGGGTATCAGTCTCGCCAACCTGCTGCTGAACAAGGGAGCCAAGAAGATCTTGGATGTAGCAAGACAGCTCAATGATGCTCACTAACCTAGCCTGAGGGCATTTTCTGCCTAGGAACATTGGTCAGATTTGTTCTGGGGTGCCCCAACCCTTCCCGTTAACTAACTCAACAGGGACTACCCTGGGCACAAAAACTGCATCATCCAGGACTCAGGTGTGGGAAAGGGGACCTGTTGCTGCTAAGCATCCTAGTGCCTTGTTCTGGCCCCCTTTATACAAGGGGCTGGAGGATTGTCTGTCTTTTTTTGTGGAAAGTCAGACATTGAATGTAACCAAATCTGTCAATAAAACACCTCAAATTATTCTAGTGGAATTTTTATTTGGCCTATAGACAAAGGATAGGGGTGGGGACAATCATCCCATTCCCACTCTGGGCACCAGGATATCTTATCTCCAGTGCCTGGCCAATAAATGCTGGTTGACTGGTTTACATAGGGAAAAAATTCCTTTTTACATTCCAGACCCAAATTCCCCCAAGGAAAAATGGCCAACCGAATTTGCTGACATTTGCTAACCTTTGTGACCTAGGGGGATCCCACAGCAGCTGTGTTCCAGTCCTTAGGTCACCAACTACAGTAATGCCGAAGAAAGACAAGAAACTTCATTAGAAAAAACAAAACAAAACATTTAATAAAATTAAGTTAATCGGACTTCCGAATTGTCTTTCACAGTCTCTCAATTCCCCCAGTTCCTTCCCCAGGATAAAGGCAACGTGTCTAAGCTGAGAAAATTCAGTTCATGAGCCGGAGGTCCGGGCTGGGGATGAACTTCAGCGCCGGCCGGGGACGCGGGCTGCCCCGTGGTGGTCCGCGCGTGGCCGCGGGGCGCCACCGCCCTGGGGTTGGTTCAGTAGCTGCCAAGAGAGGAGTCAGAGGATGAGCGGGGCTTGGGCGGGCCCCGCGACCCCACGCGCCCCGCCGCGCCGGGCCGAGGGAGGGGGCGGGGCCGAGGACGCCGGGGGGCCGGCTGGGGAGGGAGGCGAGTGGAGCAGCTCTCTCAGTGAGGGGGGAGGCGGCCCTGAAAAGGGCCTTTGTGGTGGTGGTGGTGGGGGGGTCTGGTGCGGAGCCGAGCGGCCGCGGCGCTGAGGCCGGGGCTGCCCTCAGTACTCCTGCGAGGCCTGCGTGCTCTTCTTGCTGCCGCCGCTGCCCGGGGCCTTGGGTCCGGTGATGGCGCCGCTTTTCTTGGGCAGCAGCACCGCCTGGATGTTGGGCAGGACGCCGCCCTGGGCGATGGTCACGCCGCCCAGGAGTTTGTTGAGTTCCTCGTCGTTGCGGATGGCCAGCTGCAGGTGGCGGGGGATGATGCGGGTCTTCTTGTTGTCCCGGGCCGCATTGCCCGCCAGCTCCAGGATCTCGGCCGTCAAGTACTCCAGCACGGCTGCCAGGTACACCGGCGCGCCAGCCCCGACTCGCTCCGCGTAGTGGCCCTTCCTCAGCAATCGGTGCACACGGCCCACGGGAAACTGCAGCCCGGCCCGAGAAGAGCGAGACTTGGCCTTGGCACGGGCCTTCCCGCCAGTCTTGCCGCGACCCGACATGCTAACGTATAAAGCGCGAGACTGGTTCTGAGAGAACTACTGCCAGTAACGGCTGCGCATGCGCAAACACACTCACCAAACTCTCGCCGCAGTCTAAATGCCGGTCAGCGTGCAAAGCTGCCGCCTTTAAGGCAGCCGGTCACAGCGTCCTTTAGTTAGTTATTGGCTGGATCATCTGACGGCCGTCTCCAATTGGCTAGAGTTAGTTAACAGGCTCCTCCTCCCAAACGTATGAGCGTGCTTACTGATTGGCTGGATTTGAAAACTCTTCTTACCCGGGGAAGATGACTGTGAGCAGCAAACTAGAGGGCGGGCGGTGTCTACTCCACCCCTCCCCACCCCCGTCTTCCCGCTTCCCCAGACGGCCAATCAATTAGAAGCGCGCGAGATTCAAAAGGCATAGGCGCCAAGAAAGGAAAATGGGTGGGGCGAGAGGGTGCACAGCGGCAGCTAGGTGGCGCAGTGGAGGAAGACTCGTCTTCCTGAGTTCAAATCTAGCCTCAGACATTTACTAGCTGTGTGACCCTGGGCAAGTCACTTAACCCTGTTTGCCTCAGTTTCCTCAGCTGTAAAATGAGCTGGAAAAGGAAATGGCAAACCATTCTAATATCATTGCCAAGAAAACCCCAAATGGGGTCATGAAGAGTCAGACATGACTGAAAAGGACTGAAAGAAGGCAGACCTCTCTAGAGACCTGGAGATTGTGTAATGCCAGCAGAGGCCAGGGCCGCTGCCCGACCAGACACTGAGTTTCCCCTATCTACCTCCTACAGAAGGCATTTCTAATAAGAGCCTGGCCACTTCCCCTAATTACTCTATACAGTTGATTTACTTCCGTGTGTTCCTATTTTCCCTCAACAGATGGTAAGCTTCTTGCGGGAAGGCACTTTGGTGTTGGGGCCCAGTACACTTCTGTTATTGTCCAGTCATTTCAATCCTGGTAACCCCATTTGAGATTTTCTTGGCAAAGATACCACTTTTACCACTTTGACTGGTTGGATCATTTCACAACTCCACCAACAATGTATTAGTGTTCCAATTTTCCACACATCTTCTCCAGCTTTTATCATTGTCCTGTTTTGTCATGTTAGCCAATCTGATAGGTGTGATGTGGTACCTCAGAGTCATTTTGATTTGCATTTCTGTAATCAATAGTGATTTAGAACATTTTTTCATATGACTCTAGATAGCTTTAGTTTTTTCCTCTGAGAACTGCCTGTTCATATTCTTTTGACCATTTATCAATTGGGGATGTTCCCCACTTTGGAACATGAGCTTCTGGAGAGCAGAGATTCCCTTACTCTTCTAATTATATCCCCAGCATTTAGCACATTTGTTGTTGGGTACAGTTGTTTGCCTCAGTTTCCTCATCTGTAAAATGAGCTGGAGAAGGAAATGGCAAACCACTCCAGTATCTTTGCCAAGAAAACCCCAAATGGGGTCACAGAAATGCTTCCCCCCCCATCCATCCATTCATCTAACCAGGGGTGGGGAACCTGCAGCCTCAAAGCCATGAATCCTTTTATTAGGGGTATTTGTTCTGTGAAGTTTTGATTCAGTCAAAGGGCTGCACTGAGGACCTAGAGGGGCACATGTGGCTTTGAGGCCAAAGGTTCCCTTCCCTGGATCCATCTTATGCCTGAATAGGATCAATTTACAACACAATATAACCTTAGCCTCAAGATTTTAGCACCCAAGAAGGGGCAACCCACTACTGACCAAAGCAACCTATTCCACCTTTCAAAAGCTCTAATAGTTTGGCAATTTCCCTTCATATAAAACCCAAATTTGCCTCTCTCAGATTTCCACCCTTTGGTCCTATGTTTTCCTCAGAGATCAGTCTTTCTACCTCATCCTTCACTTCCATTCCTTGAGATTTTACAGTTAGAAGGGTGATCATCCCTCTCAACCTTTGTCATCAATACCACAAATAATTGCCACCAACAGGCAGATAGGCACAGGAGCCCTAGGAGTGTCAGCAACCTGAGACCACTAGTTCAGCTTCTAGCCTAGCCCTCAAAACCACCCAGGAAAGCAACTCCTGTGGGGAAAGGGCTGGCAGTCCCCACCACATGTTACACATAAGCCTGGCAAACCAGCCTAGATAAATCAGAAAGGCACCAGGTGACCTTATGTACAGGGCGAGTCAAAGCACCACCACCACCTTGACCAACACCACCCCCATTCCCCCCAGACCCTTATGGAGACAGCCCAGGACTGTGAACACAAGAGCCTTGGGTCAACGCTTCCTGCCCATCACCCTGAAAAGTAATTCCTGTGGAGATGTAGCCTGGAAATTATTCCTGAAGGTGCTGCAGCCCCAGCTACTGAAGACCCAGAAAAGAAAGGTCTTGCCACCAAAGTCCCTGGCACTGCCAAATGGTTCAACATCAGAAATTGATATGATTTTATCAGTAGAAGTAACATTAAAGAAAAGGCATTGCCAGCTCCTTTGCAGCTGCACCCTAAGAACCATGGGACTTTTCCAACTTGCAGCTGAAACCTCGAATGCACTGTCTCCCCCCTTTGAATGTGAGCTCCTGGGGAGAAGGGACTGCCTGACTTTTCTATGTGCACAATTTATTGTACATAATAAGCGCTTAATAAAATGCTTCATTCATTCACTCTATGTTGTCAGTGGCAGTCCTTGACAACTGGTTAGTGTCCTCTTCTTGAACAACTTCCAGTGATTGGCGAGTTCACTAATTGTTGAAGTGGTTTAGCCCATTTGTGGATAACTGATAAGGTGCTTGGTTTTTCTTCTTTTTTTGGTGGGGGGGGTGAGGCAATTGGGGTTAAGTGACTTGCCCAGAGTTACACAACTAGTGACTGTTATATGTCTGAGGCCGCATTTGAACTCAGGTCCTACTGGCTCCAAGGCTGGTACTCTATTCACTGTGCCACCTAGCTGTCCCAAGGTGCTTGTTTTTTAAAGTTTTCTGTTACTAAGCTAAAATCTGTTCCTGTGTAATTTCCACTCATGGGCCATGGGTCTATGCTCTAGGCCCAAGCAAAACAAGTCTAATAGCTATCCCACTTGAGTATTTTTCTCCAATGTAACTTTCCACATAGGTTACACAAATAAGTATGTTGTTTTCCCCACCAGCAGGGAAGGGAAGGAGCTCAGTATCTGGAGGAAAGAAGACAGAGAGAGGGGCCAGGATATTATATTTGCCTAATGGGGGAAGTAGGCAGGGAAGTGTCCCACCACATCCAAAATCAGCTGAAAACAGGAGCTACACCTGAACCAAACACATTTATTGTCACCAAAAGGAGCAAATGACCACCCAGGTTGCTCCTTATTAATCAAAATGCTTAATTCCCATCAATTCAGGGTGGAACCATTAGGAACCACCAGGGACTTAGCCTGATCCCTAGCGGCAACCTAGCTTCCAAGAAGCTGCTACCTCCTGCCCCAGAGGAGGTTTCAGGAAAAGAAGGAAAGGGAGAAAAATGGCAATTTAGGGAGGTTCATAGGGCAAATTCCATCAATAAATAATCATTGAGGGGTAGGATGGGTAGGATATCTCCCAAGGAGATAATTTTGAAGACAGCAAAGGACGGGGAGAAGCCCAATAGGCTTATGGGGAATACAGTCGTAGTCCAACAGGGGCTCCACATGAGACGGGGCACAAGGGGTTATGGAGTAAAGAGTCACGGTCAAGGACTCAAATATCATAGAAGAGCCGAACCAGCTGGTATCGAATGGAGAACGTGATAGCACTAGCCAGAATCTGCAAGAAGAAACAGAGAGAGAGTCATGAGAAAAGGAGGCAGGCAGCGAGACTTCTGGAAGGTAACCAGGCTGGGGAGGAACTATTTGGAAAACAGAAAAAAAATGAGGAAGAGGTACAAGGGCCTGCTGTGCCCATCTTGGCCCAAGGCATCACCTGAAGGAGCAGAAGTAACAAAGTGAGGTTTCTTTCATGGATGGGCCCCAGGATCTTGATGAGCAGGTTAATGAGGGTCATGTTGTTGCACTCAATGTAAGCACCAGCCTCATTTTCACCTCGACGGACAGCCACCAGCCGGAGGGCTTCGGCGCCCTGGAGAGGCAGAAGGTAGGGGTTAATCATAGCCATGCTTCACATCAGTATGAGGAAACGGCCCCAACCTTCCTCCAGGTCTGCTCTTGGTCTGGAGTTCCCATTCCCTGGGCCCACAGGAGTACCTGACCACCTGCTTGCATGTCCCTGTTACCTTCAGAAGCAGGGTGCCGAAGAGAGAAAGGTTCTTGGCCTTGAACTTGGAATAGCTCATCTCCAGCTTCCCTGTTTTGGTGTTGAGCCTGCAGAGGAAATGGGGTGTGACACTCAAGAAGCAGCAGAGTTTTGCAGAAAGAGCCCTGATTGGGAGTCAAGAATCCAAGGTTCTCATTCCAGTGTCAAACACTTACTGGTTGTGGAACCCAATGGTAACCTATCCTCTCTGAATTTCAATTTCCTCATTCGTAGAATGAGGGTTATAATGATCCTACCTCACAGGACTGTGAAGAAAGTACTTTACAGACCTGAAAATATGTATATTTGAGTTAATCAATTCAACAAACAAGTGCCTACTGTGTGCAGAACACTATGCTAAGTGCTGGAAGAAATGTACACAAAGCTTAGGGGAGACAATTCCTGTCCTTAGGGAGCTTAAACTCTAGTCGAAGAATATGATATACACAAATAGAGAAAACAAATTAAATATGTAAGATGCTAGATAAGTCCTAGTCAAGGTCCATATAAATGCTTAAAAGGCACAGGTGAGAGGGAGGGGGAGGAAGCAAAGGAGGGGATTTTTAGGGGTAAGAGGTTTTAAAGACTGGGGAAGTGGGGTGAGGAAAAGGGCATTCCAGGCATGTGGAACAATGCTGAGCAAAGGTAGCCAAGTGGAAAACATGTACAGGTAACAAGCAGTCTGGTTTCTCCGAAGTACAGGATACAGGGGAGTAATAGAAGACTGAAAAGGCACTGAGGGCCACGAATACCAGGCAAAGCAGTGTGATCTTTACTCAGGGGACAAAGAGTGATCCACTGAGGGGTTCTGAGCAGGACCGAAATGATCAAGTCTACGCATAAAAGAAATTCTGGCAGCATTATGAAGGATGGATTGGAATGGGGGAAAGTGGAAGTTTTACAAGTTGTTAGAAGGCTACTGCAG